TTTGGGTCCATTTATGGTGAAGTTCCCCACCTGGGATTGGTGAGTGAGATTTAATGCTGTGTCCCTTGTCCCTGCCCACTTCCTGATCAGCGTACGTTGGAAATTTACTCACTGTGTTCTCCCCATAGTAGACCCGTAACCTGTGGTGTCACCTACCGTCTCCTTCCCACAGGAGATTGGTTACCTGTGCTGTCACGTGACGTTCCCTCTCCACATTAGACCCGTAATAAGTGCTCTTACCTACCGATTCCTCCCCACAGCAGATTGGCAATCTGTGCTGATACCTACCTTGTCTTCTCCACAGGAGATAAGTGAGCTGTGCTGACACCTACCCCGTCTCCTCCCCGCAGGAGATCGGTGAGCTGCTGCAGACTCGCGGAGCCGAGGTGGGTGTCACCACGGGCAGGAGACGCCGCTGTGGCTGGCTCGACTGCGCCCTCCTGCGGCACTCCAACATGGTGAATGGATATACAGCGTGAGTGATCCTCGCGGGAGAAACTGACAAATGGTTCGCCGCAAACGGCTGGGAAGAAGGATTGGAATTTTTTGTTGAGGACCAAAGTGACTGATTCTATTGTTGTTTATTCGAATTAACCTGCCACATCAAGGGCGACGCTTTTAACCCGCGAGTTGCTGGGGGGGGGGGCGTTAAACGCCTCCGCTTTTTTCGCCGGGCCATAGCATAAAAACGGCGCGCCTTGGGTACCTGTAGGGAATTGATTGAAGTTTATTGTGACAAAGTTTCAAAAAAAATCGGTCGAAAATTTTTTGAGATATCGAGGTTTTAGTGACGTCATGATTTTTGAGTTTTCGACCAAAAACGGCATATGTTCAAAAATCATATAAAATCACAGAATAGACATACAGACATGCCGTAAACGCAATTAGACTGCCAATACCATGATCAATCAAATGGCTATCTTCGATTATTGATGATCGTTCCGCATTTTCCATAATCTTGAACTGAATCTTGGCAATTTTTCGTGACTACTTCACGACCATGATACATGCATTTCTTAAATTGAACTTTTTGAGCCAAACACGTACACATATGATAAAATGAATGTCACCATCGTGTTCTACGCCCCAAATTACCTATAAAACATGTGTCACAGGCTGCGAATATCAGTTTTGATTTTCGGGGATATGTGCCTACCCTGTTGACCTGACCTTGACCCTGACCTATGCTTGACTGACCCCTACATGGAGCTGACACTCTTGTAGGCCTTATATGATGGATTGTGCACCGTTTGGACAGAGTTTATGACGAGAGGCGCCCATTGCGAAGTCCTGAAGTCCATGCTACTGAAAGCCCAATTTCAGGTGTTTGACCTGACCTTGACCCGACCTGTGACCTAAAAATTCAACTTTAAAGTACTCATCTGAAGCGTCTCGTCGCGCTCTTTCGTTTGCCGCCTCGTGCGTTTCGCTGCGCCTATTGGTTCTCGAGTTATCGGCTGGGGGCGTTTAACGCCCCCCCCCCCCCCAGCAAACGGTGGGTGGCGAAATACCCCAGACTGCCGGGTAATTTTAGTGACGATGCAGTGTGATTATTTTTGGCTAAGCTACCACCCTTAGCTGTGGACTGTTGCTCGTAAATATTTACCCATGCACTTGGATTGGAACTGTCGATCCCTTACTCTGCCTCCCTTTTTCTCTTCCCCCTTCTACTTTTCCCTCTCTAACCTGCGTCGCTGATGCCCCTACCCTCAGGCTGGCTGTGACCAAGCTGGACATCCTGGACACCCTCCCTGAGGTGAAGGTGGGCGCGTACTACCAGCTCGACGGCCGGCGGCTCGACCACTTCCCGGCGAGCTCGGCCGAACTGGCGCGGGTCGAGGTCGAGTACATCACCGTGCCCGGCTGGCAGTGTAGCACCGAGGGCGTGCGCACCTTCGGAGACCTGCCCGCCAACGCCCAGGAGTATATCCGCACAATGGAGCGGCTGGTCGGCGTGCCAGGTGAGTGCTGAGGCGGGAGTGTAGGCGGGTGGACAGAGGCGGGAATGTAGGCGGGGATAGGCTGGCGGGCAAAGGCGGGGATACGCGGGCGAACAGAGGCGGGAATGTAGGTGGAGATAGGCGCGCGGACTAAGGCGGGAATATAGGAGGGGATAGGCGCGCGGACTAAGGCGGTAATATAGGAGGGGATAGGCGGGCGGAGAGAGGCGGGAATGTAGGTGGAGATGGCGGGTACAGAGGGGATGGGCGGGCTTGACTGGGGACGTAAAGCCAGGCACAACCGGGTATAGTTAGGTTAGACTTTAGAGGGAGAGATATCACGGTGCTGCCGTCCAAAGGCAAAAACGCATATGTCGGGTCAGGTCATGAACCGACATATGCGTTTTTGCCTTTGGACGGCAGGGTGGTTGGGGTCTGCAACTACGCGGCTGTTAGCCGTTCGGTAGTGGTGCTCCACGGATTAGTTTCAGACCAGTGAGTAAAAGTGAAACTTTGTTTGATCCTGTGCCAAAAATAACGGGTCCCTAATGGCGATGAACTGATGTCAGTTAACGTCATTCGATGATAGAATGAAGGTGATTTTGCTTCCGATAATGCGTCTAGCTGTCCTTAATGAGACTGTGAACCCTGCTAAGTGTGTCGTCAATATGGATGCACTCGGCTTAATCTTGGGTGTGGGGCTCGAGGCGGGTCTTTCCCTAATGACCTTATCAGTCGTCACGCTCGGCCATTGGCGCGTCGTCACTGGAGTGGCTGATCCGCCGTGCATCTCTGACGTTTGCAGAGTGATTATTGCCAATTGGTTGGACTCCACAGGAAAAGTTGCTGGCTAGGAGTTTGACCTGGAAATTTCCTTGCTTGAAACTATGTGGTCATGAAGATTTAAACACATGTAAAAAGAGCATGGCCATTCTCTGTCTTCGGGGACAAATGTCCTCTAATTTAATTGCATTTCTCTAATCTGATCGTCCGCTGCTATGGCCTTGCGGTGTGTCCGAGGAAATATTCGTCCCACCATTGCTTACGCACGTCTTGCCCTCAGATATTCTCACGTCTAACATCCCCTCCCTCCCCTCCCCGTCGACAGTGAAGTGGATCGGCGTCGGCAAGTGTCGCGACTCCATCATCCAGGTGTGACTGCCGCCGCCAAGCGTCCGGTTCGCCGTGTGAGAGAGTGTGCTGTGGACTGAATGATGCACCCCGCTAGCGCCTGTAGATGCGCCAGCCCCCGCCGGACCGGTCACCCGTGTACCTGCCGTGTCTTTTTCAGTACCAATAAAACGTGCCCCATTATCTTGTACTGGGGATGATGAGGGAGGGGTTACTGGATATGAGACTGGGCGACAAGGAAAGAAAGCGGCATGAGCTGGCGTTACAAGTTTTGCATTAAGCTATTAGTGACCATCTCGGCCTTTTTGTCATATTCACGTTGTCTTCAGATCATTTGAGTAATATCGACCACCATAATTCCATCCACCTTCCCCTCCCTCCCAGCTCCGGTCGCTCTTTCTCCTTCCCTCCCTCTCAGTCCCTCCCTCCCTCCCTCCCTCCCTCCCTCCCTCCCTCCCTCCCTCCCTCCCTCCCTCCCCTCCCCTCCCTCCCTCTCTCTCTCTCTCTCTCTCTCTCTCTCTCTCTCTCTCTCTCTCTCTCTCTCTCCTCTCTCTCTCTCTCTCTCTCTCTCTCTCCCCACCGTTTCCCTCTCTCCCCGATTCTTTGTCCCTGGCTCCCGAATAGCTCTGAGTTCATTGCTAAATCAACTGTCAGCTGTGAAGCCCAGCTCGTTAGTCGGGTACCTTCAAACAGACTCACACCGGGGTGGTAACATCTGGACCGACGCGACACCTGCGCCACTGCCCGCCATTATCGGCATCGCCGAGCGCCGTGCGTCTTCTCGAATTGAATTGGTGTTCAGTCCTCTGAGACAGCTGTCCTGTCCTCCGGTGTTAAATGCGTGGTGCGTATGTTGCGTTCTCTAGGATTGCGCATTCTCTGAATTATGCGTCCTCTAGCTCCAGGATGGTGCGTCCTTTCAGATTGGATGTGTTTTGCCTTCTCTCTCAAGTCGAATCGGTCTCTCTACGTGCCAGTGGAACTCAGACTACCAGCTCTCCGCGTTTCTAGCGTCGTCGTCCACTGACCTCGAGCTCGGGTCTGTGAGGAGCGGTGGGAAATGCTCGCCCCCGGAGGCAGCCAGCTTTCCTGGGGAGGGAATTTTCCTGCAGCACTAGGAAGACGGCGTGGGCGAGCGAAGACGACGCCGGTGTTTTGCGGGACTGTCCTTGGTGGTTTAGCTCCGTGGGGTGCAACTGACGCGCGGTGATCGCTGATTACGGCTAGTGGGAGAGGAAGATTGCAGCGATTGAGCGCTATTAGCGCGGCAAAGCTCATTAGGAAGACGCGCGGACCGGTGTTATCCAGGATGTGACATGAGGCGTCTCAGCTCTCATTTGCCTGTCGTCTGAGACCTTTCCTTTGACGCAAGCCAACAGGATGCGGATCTGGTGTGGACGAGCTTTGTGTAGGCATCCCTGTCAGGAGGCCATGAAGGTATCAGTGACGGTGTGATCCGCATTGTAGTTTTTACGGCTGCCGGTGCTATTACATTATTTCTAACAAAAAAGACCGTCTGCAAACAAACAATTCCAGTGTAAATAAGTGGAGCGCGGAGATATGCCTACCTGTCATGAACGCTTACTGATTTGATGTTTGCGATGGAGATGAACGATATTTCAACAAAGCCATCCATTCCAACCGATAGCTTTTGTGTGTACAAATTGTTCTGTGCGATCAAGCAAACGTATCAGTTTCTTCCGTCCACATGTATTTCACCTCATGTCCGTCACGTATCTAGAGCTGCCAATAACAGTCAACATCAAACGCACAATGCACGAATAGACCAATATTGCTACCAAAAACCAGCATGGTCGGTTCGGCGCTATCCACAGCGGCTCGGTAATGGAATGATGACGTATTAAAATGAGCTGCCAATTGCCCGGGTGCGTGCCAATGGGCCATCATGGCACCTACTCTCTCGCGGGCATCATTGCACGTTAGGCTGCCGGTTTAGCACCGGCACGCTGCGTGGCACATGCCATTTCCATTCTCGATAGTAACGAAACGAATACGGCCGTTCCGTGCCGCAGTTGGCTCACGCGACGGTCTCACGCTTCCTCGCTTCCCTCCTAGCCAGAGACGGCTAATCCCCGTCCCAGACTGCCGTACGGTGCAGGTACACTTTACAAATCAACCCGAAAAACGGCACTCCACTCGAGACTCTAGGTATGAACGGACGGCGCGGTAACTCGAGCGAGCCGGACGGCGCCGGGCGCGGAGACGGCTGCTCCGGCCCGCGTCAGCCGCCCGCCCGACTGCTCTCTCAGCTATGGCTACTAAGTACAATAGACGGAATGTATCAATGGTCACAACGGTAACTGTTGGCAATCAGGAGCCGCGCGGAGTGAACCGGCATCTCCGCGCACAACCAGCGAGCTCCAGGACACAACACACACACTCGCGTGCGCGCTTCACAATGCAGTAACAGAGGACCCGATCGGCCGCGATGAGATGAACCTAAGCATATATGAACGAACATGAGTCACATCCTTATTGGTGAGCTGCTCTGGAGTTGTCGGTTTCGTTTGCATTCCCGGGTCTAGACGTTGGCAATGAAAGGAAGTCCTCCTTTGGGGAAATTCCCCTACAATGTGAGAGATTCCTCTAGCATCTGGTGAATCTATAAGTATTAAAAGTGAAATCCACTGATCGGGCATGGCTCATAATGTTTAAAAGGGTGTTATAGCCGCATAGTAGTTCCCCTATTTGGAACCTGAAACACATTTGACCCAATCTTAGACTTTAGAACTATTGGGTAGATTCAACTGAAAGAGGAGTCTCTCCAGACACATTCAGATCATCATTTGATATTCATCCATTCCCCAGTTTATACTCAGCTCGATTCTGACAATAAATACCACTAGATTCACAGAGATTCGCACGCCTTTGGCTGTTACCAACCCGCTCAAACACACGCCGCGGCCGGGACAGAGCCCTTACCCACCCGGCCGGTCCGACCCGCGCCCGGAACACGCCGACTTCAGAGATCGATCGGGGGGCAGCGCGGCGCCACTACCGCAGTTGCAGCGACTGAGAGACCGCTCCCACCGGCTCGCTGTCACTGTAGAGGCTGTCGGAGGTGGGCCGACGCCGCGAACCCACCGTCTCCTCGCTGCTGAGCTCCCGGCTGCCCTCCGAGGTGGCTGCGTCCGGCTCCCGCTCGTCCCCGGAGCTGAGCGGCCGCTTGGCGCAGACGCTCTCCGTGGGTGGGTAGTCGGGCAGGCGCGCCGACGGCGGCCGCGCGCGCGTGCGTGTCACCGGTCGTCGCGTGACGCACTTGCGGCGCAGCGCCGGCGCCTCGCCACCGTCGTCGGACTCGGACTGACGCGCGATGAGAGCGTTACGCAGCTGGCGGCGGCGCGCCGGCAGCGGCGCCGTGTGCACGTCACAGTCGCTCTCGCCCGAGCTGCTCAGGTGGCGACTGTAGTGGACGCGCACAAACGAACGGCGGCTCGGCGACGGCTGCACAAAGCACGCGTCGTTGTCGCTGTCGTCGAGCAGGATGCAGCGGCGCGAGGCGAGCGCCCCGGGGATGTTACCGTTCCCGGAGTCGGCAGCGGCGAGCAGTTGGCCGGCCCCGCGCGTCGCCAGCTGCCAGTTGTGGTTGGCCTCGTCCGGCAGACGACCTCCCGGCACCGTCGTCGTTGTTGTCGTTGTTGTGTCGTTACCGTTGTCGGCGAGGCGGGTCTCGAGGGCGAGCGTCAGCGGTCGCTCGGGCCGGCCGTCGGGCGGAGTCTGGGTGCAGCCGTCGGTCAGCTTCCGGCTGGGACTGGGCGGCAGCGGGTCGGGGCTGCGCAGCATCGCCTGGGCCCGGCGGCTGGTACCGGCCTCCAGTGACAGCGCGCCCGGCCCGCGGGCGGAGCGCGAGGTGCGCTGCGCCATGACGTTCATCTCGCGCTGCTGCTGCTCCAGCTGCAGTAGACATGTGCTCAGCTCGAGGTAGAGGTTGTTGGCACGCTCCAGTTTGCGCTCGTAGTGCTGCCGGATGTCCTGTGCGTGTCGCAGCTCCTCGCGACGTTTCCTGACCAGCTCCTCGCCTCCCTGCTGGATGCTGGCGCGCTCCGAGCGTACCCGCTCCATATGCGCCTTGACCTCGCGTCGCCAGAGCGCCTGCGTGCGGAAGTAGACGTCGCAGGGGATGTTGACCACCTCGATGGAGGCGATGTCCAGGTGCATCAGAATGTGCCGGAAGGACGGCCGGTTGCGCGGCTTGGCACTCAGACACTGCTTGACGAGCAGCTTGAAGCCGTCGGGACAGGTCTGCGGGACGGGCAGGTGGAGCGAGTTGCTACCGACGCCCCAGATGATGGCGCTCGAGTCGACGTCGCTGTAGGGCATCTCGCAGGTGAGCAGCTCCCAGAGCACCACGCCGAACGACCAGACATCTACCTTCTCCGAGCAGGGCTCATTGCGGATCACCTCCGGCGCCATCCACGCCACGGTGCCGGCAAACGACATGCGGGTGCTCATGTTGTTCCACTCGCGACTGGTGCCGAAGTCACTGATCTTGATGCTCTCGCTGCTGCCGATCAGGATGTTGGGGCTCTTGAGATCGCGGTGAATGATTTTATGCTGGTGCAGATAGCTCATCGCCGTGGCGATCTGCTTGGTCCAGTCGACCAGTCGTTTCGGAGCGATCTCCTTTCCGTCCTTGAGGTGGTCGTACAGACTGCCGTAGGGACAGTACTCCATGATGATACAGAAGCAGGGCGCCTGCGTGGACACGCCCTTGAACTGCACGATGTTGGGGTGGTTGAGTCGCCTCAGGTGACGGATGTCCGTCTCCTTGTGTTCGCGGACCTTCTTCACAGCCACGGTCTCGCCGCGGAGGCTGCCCCGGAACACGGCGCCCTGCGCGCCCGAGCCGAGCCACTGCAGGTCACTGATGTGCTCGAACGGCACCTCCCAGTTCTCGGGCGCGGCCATCGCCTTCTTGGCGCTGATGATGGTCCAGACGGGCCGCAGGCAGCCGAAGATGCCCTCCATGAGGCCGGTGGGCGGCACGCCGCGGCCCTCGCGGTAGCCGACCTGCATGCCGGCCTGGTCGGGCGAGGTGTCCGGGTCGGAGGCTGGCTCCAGCGGACCGCCCGGCGGCGACAGACTGGCTGGCGAGCTGAGCGTCAGCTGCATCAGCTCCTTCTCCAGCTTCAGCACTCCGGGCTGCATGGCGTCACCCTCGGAGCGCGCCAACCCTGCCGGAGGAACAGAGAGGGTCAGCAATGTCGGAGGGGAGAGACAAACAGCCGGAGCGATGGGGCAGTTAGCGGTCTCTCGACTCACAGGGACAGAGCGGGACTGCGCAGCGTTCACTTCAGGTAGAAATAGAGAACATAATTAAATCTAACGCAATCAACCTAGAAAGGAACAATTATTGGAATTGAAATAAGATGTAGTGTACCTGTCATGGGTGACTTCTGCCAAGAGCTGACAACACCAAGGAGTCGTGTGAAGTGAAGGAGTGCACGCGGAGCTACTGGCAGCGGACCCGACTCCGACCCGTCCGCGCCATGCTCGCCCGACAGAGTGACACTGGCCGGTCGCCGCGCCGGGCGCGGTGCAACATTTCCCGCTGCAGGGCCGGTAAAGTGCGGTTACCGCCAGGTAAACGGGCCCTCCGCGCGGCGCCTGCGGCTCGCCGGGCCTGAGAATCGATCGACGACGACGCAGTCACAGCAGCCGAGAGTGGGAGGAGCGCAATCGTCCGCGACGGAATCAGACCGAGCGCAGAGCGGCGCCACAGCTGGTGACCTTTACCCGTGAAGGTCAGCGGGTCATCGGCACTGGCCACTCCATAGCGCGGCTGAGTGGCCGCCGGACACCGCCCGGGCTGAGCGGCTAAATGTCGCCGGTCAGCCGGACACTCGGCCGGTCTTCCCGGCGAGTCAGTCCCGGCCGAGGTCGGAGTGCAGCTCTGCGACTGACACTTGTGACAGCCAGGGAGGCGCAAATCCCTCTTCAAACCTTCCGAGATTGTGGGATTTCCAGTCTGTTTAACCTTTACGCGACGCTCTCCTTGAGTGGTGTGCTCTAGATTTGCTGTGCAGCCTAGGCCATCCGAAGAGTGTTTTCAGTCATGATCAGAAAATGATCAGAACAAACCTAAGCGCTACACAGAAAACACAAACGCCCGTGAGTACATTCATATTCGCACAAATACCACAACAAACAAGGTTGAGTTCATGGCCTGCAGAGGCCACCTTTTCACGGAAGCGCCGATTACTCCCAGCAGCGTCCACTCTGCACGCTCCATGTGGACCCCGCTCGATAGGGACCGTCTCCCGGGTAAAACGAGCGTACGTCGGCGCGTGAGTCACCCAGGTGAGGAGGCTATCAGATGCTCCGATCGTGGGAGAGCACAGCTAGTGAAACGGAGCCGGAGCGACCACCGGCCGGCGGGCATTTCCTCATCGTTCGCCAAACAGCGACATCATCAGCTAGTGAGCCGAAAATGGCTGTTTTATGGGCCGCGCGGGGAACGGACGGGGGCCACCCGGAGTCGCGGAAATTCGCCTGGAGATGCCCGGAAAATGACCAAACGAGCATTACACTCGGGAGGGCTGAGCGATTCGCCGTCCAATGCAGCGAACATGCACAGCGGCAACATGGAATAATTTGGTATACTTCAGTCTTCAGGCAGCATCCTAGCGCTGTGGTCGTCAGCAAAGGCGTGGTCGTCGTCCCCACGCATCAAGTGCCAGAAACTAGCTGTGTTGATGCGCTGGTAAAACCAGCTGTGCGTCCGTTTTCGGTCAATCCATCGGCACATGTCTGCTGCTGGTTCGACGAAATCGGACGTGAATGGCCCAAGCCCGAAATGTCATAAGAAGCATTTAGATGTAGATTCAAATCTAAACAATCTGGTTGACCTTGATAATGAGCAGTCATGTCGAGAGCAGCCTTATTCTTCAGACAAACACAAAAATAGCCAATACATAGGAAAACACACGAAAAGCCCTGTGGTCTGTACTAGACCCAGGAAGCCACCGGAACGACAGTCTTCAATGGCCTGTAATATACACGGGCCATGAGGGACAATTGTGTCGGCTCCATGTCTATGATGGCCAAGAGCCCAAACTTATATCAATATATACCGCCTGCCTTCCTACGTCTGTTCCGTGTATTTCGTCAGTCGTTCACCGACATCACGTCTCCACGTCACGTCTGGACGTCAACCACGTCACGTCCTCTCCACTCACAGCAAGTCCGCTGTACTCACGGCACGTTCCATGCACCCACGGCCGGCGGCATTGAGAGTTCCCCTGCCCTCCCACGGCCCCTGCACACCACATGTATGGGCGCGTGACCGCCACCCCCGCCGACAGCCGCTCGGGCGGGGGCGGGGGCGGCAGGTGCGCCGCCTCACACAGCTGGCGCAGCCGGTCCGCCGCGCCGGCGCAGCACACCCCGGACCGGTCCGGTCCAATCCGCGGACAGGTATACAGCACACACCAACACACCCCGGCGCCGTGTAATGGCCGCCCGGCCGGCCGCCGGCCGGCCGCATACACAGGTAATCACGACTGGGGCCGACCAGCTGCCCAGACCGGATGTGGCCGCCGTAATGGCGGCGGCGGCGGCGGCCGAGAGACGAGGGTGTGTCAGAGCTGCCCGCGGCCGGCGGGTGCACGATTGGCCACCGCCGCGCCGACACTACCGGGTCCAAAGGGTGTGCCGAAACCGCCCCCCACGGCCTAACAGACAGCCCTACAGACACCCCAAGGCCCTACAGACAGCTTAGCGGCCGACGGGTGCTCGACAGGCCACCGCCACCCCTGCCTGGTCCTGAAGGTGTGCCGAAACCTCCCCCGCCAGCCACCGCCGCCGCTGCCGACAGTTCCGCACCCGACGGTGCTAAACTCCCGTGTTAGCGGCGCTGTCTGGGTCACGGCAGGGCACATTCGGACACCACCACGGTCACGGGGATCGGGCCGCTCGTATATACCTCGTTCTCGGAGCCGACGTCACTTTGCCGGAGCCGGAAGGTTAATGGATGGGGCGGTCCCGGATTGGGCGTCGCGTTCGTCGAAAGCTGCGCAGCGAGCAGTTCCTGTCGACACCGACGGAGCGTTGTCGGAGCAACGGGAACGACGACCGACGGCGGTGGGGGGGGGGGGGGCGGACCGATGGCGGGGTGAGATGGATGGCATACACTGGACGGAGAAAACGCCGGAGAGGTTCGCAGAAATGGCCACTGCAGATGAGATCGTGATGTTGACAAAGCTGGCAGAGATAAGGCGGCAGCTGCCTCGGAACGTTAGGGCACATCGGGGCATTTTGGACGTTTTAATTGATGAAGGAAATGTAGGTAATATGTGCATTACGAATGAGAAGTAAACTGGGCATAGTTACCACTCGGGTATCTGATTCGAAGGAATGTTGAATGCTAAATTCAGCTGTTATCTGGAACTTTTCGTTTCTTTGTGCATTTAAAAGCTTCAAGGATCGGTCGGTAGGTATATCACGTTACAAGGTTATCTAGTTATGTAGGGTTGCAAGGTTCCTTGCACACAGCAACTGCACATTTACAAGGCTGGCGGATCGCAAAACATGGCTTGAGCGTTCAGATGTGTTCCACTTTTTCCACGGTCAAAAACTACCGACATCTATGATCTAGCTGAACATATGGCGTGAACAGATGCCCGTTTACCATAATTTGTCATGCAGCTGAATAAGGCTATAGAATGCGATGGACGGCAATCAGGCTGGTATTTAAGTGATAGGTAAGTATAGGTATCTACCGTTTTAATGGATTGTGAATTAAACAAAACTGAGACAATTAAAATGCCGTGGAACGAACTTACTATGCCCCACTTTTGAAATCGTCCACTGCCCGTGCAGATAGGTATAGGTGTCTGACTCACAGCACTCCGCAAGATCTGCGTGAGTAAGCAGTTAGTTGGTATAGGTACTACGCACGACACTGATAGGCTTCACCGGTTCGCTGGCAACGGTACCGACTCTGACGTCACCGCCCGACTCTGACGTCATATCGATTGTGGCGCTGGCGAGCTTCTCCGAATAACGGCAACGACCTATGATCAGCGGGTGGATAGCTCGTGCTTCGTACCCAAATATCAGACCCATACGCTTCGACAAGTTCGTCACTATTGAGCGAGCCAAGTCGAATATGGCATGCTGCAGGAGGCAATTATTCCATTTTGGTAAGGTCGTGTGAGTGTCCACCTTTCAGACTCAACTGATCGCACCGTGCATCACAGAAGTGAACAGATAGTGTACGTACCGCGTCACGTCACATGCCGTGACGCGACGTTGGATGTTCTTTCAAATGAAGCACGAGATCGCACCGAAACGCAAGCCATCGTGCTACAATGCCATATAGACTCTGGCAGTGAGTGTTTGAATGACACTTCTAGTGCCCTGGATGCCACAACACAGCAGAAATTGAGTCCTTCATTTGGGAGGGCCAATTGACTGGAGATTGGGTGAGATATAGAATGGATCATCTAATGATTTGAAATCCAAGTGTCATAAGTATTATATAGTCGCCAGCGGGTTAAATCAACTTGACACGAGACAAACCGTCTTTAGCATCCACAACTTCAGCTAGCTTTGGCCTAGTTGCGATCCGGTCAAGTCCAGACCCCGGTCGCTGGCCCGTCAGGTCATCAGGTCGTCAGGTCGACACTCGACACACCAACAGGCCGTGGTCTCTAACGGTCACGGGCAGGCCCGCAAGGTCGTAAGCTAGTTGAGCATCAAGCCGCGCAGTCACCGTCAGATCGTCGGGCCGTAATGCGAGCACAAAACTGTTGGTCGCTACCCTTCTGACGACCCTGGCTATGACCATATTTGGCTCATGGAGCCCGCCGAGAGGACGTCACATCTCCATCGATCCCGCTGGATCACGGGCCGGGTGCCCCCAGCAGCAGACGAGTTGTCCGCCGAGTGCTCAACTTCCCTCACTGCCGCCCTCACAAGTCACATGGAGCAGCCAGAGGGAGGGCAGCCGGTGCCGTGGTATCCGAGTTAACTCAGAGATCTTTAGTTCGCCTCTCCAGCTGCACATCTCCACACTCAGGGGCAAGGTGGGCACCAAAGGAGAGACACCAGCCGTCCCATTGGAGTGCCCGCCTTCGTAGTTTTTTTTTTTGTGTGTGTCCATTCAGCTGGTAATTTATCATCATAAATACATAAGGGGGTCGAAAGAAGGGTGGAATTTGGGGATAACCGC